TTTCGCCATCTCTGATTTTGCAATGTTTTAATATACTATATGTGTTCTCTAACTTCAAGTTCTTCTTCCTACAGGAATTGCTGACTTCTCTACAAACTGACTAACCTGGTATAAAAGAAGCAGGAACATGTCAATAAACAATGTTTATGCATTTCATTGTGTCTTAGCTTTTGTAGCGCTTGGTGGTAAAATATCTTCTTACTAACATAACTGCATCCAAGTAAGAGAAATACCAGTTGGTTTCACTTAGATGCGGAATCTAGGATATCAAAGAAAGGACCAAAGACAAATTGTAAGACCAACCCTTGAAAGTAGACAGGAGAGCTGAGATACTCAATAGAAGAGGAAGAAAGAGGGAGAGGAAAAAAGGGAAGAGTAAAAAGTGGGGTGAGGCGGCACAATGGACTATGGTGGAGGGTTCTGGCAGCTTTGGTGGTGGGAAAACTCTGGTGACCACACCTGAAGGGTGAGATCCTATATTGTGAAAAAATAAACAAGGATGTTTTAAAAAAATAACAGATCAACCTTCCTAGTACAATGAAATAACTGCTTTTCATATTGGAGGAGGTCATTGGCTTTTGGCAGCCAATATTTTAAAACTGAGTATTCATAGGCAGGATCAGATTTCAGTTCAACCTCCATGTAAATTAGGTTATGATTTACCTGCAGATAATTTCTAATCCCAGGGTTCTGGGTCCAGTACTAGTCAGAAGTTCTGGATTTCAGTCTTGGCTCTGACTACCTCTGAGCAATTCTCTTTTTAACTGTTTCCTCAATTTACAAAAGGAAATGACCTCTCTTGAGTATTTACCTTTTAGGGTAAAGGTCACCTTTCTGGAGGGGAGTAAATGTTCAAGTCTTACTTCCTTACCACACCCTTTCTTGGATATACTTTACTGCTAAGATAACATTCACTCCTGATAAAAATCAGTAAAAACCATGTTTTTCTCATACTTTCATTTGAATGTGAATTAAAGATGACTCTTTTTATAGAAATAAAAATTCAAACTAATGCTTTGTCTAAGACTTCTATGAAGTAAAGTAGGTGACTACAAGGCAGCCACTTACAGGATTAAAGGGATGGATCAGGATTCACCTCAGCTAGCTCTTCGTGCTGTGGGGAAAGCCCGAGGATGCTCCATGCGTTGTCCCAAAGTCCCTTTGACTGCTAGTATCTCTGCTAGTCCTCGCTGACCATGCCTGCATTCGCACCCATGTGACAAATCAAGGGTGGTGAAGCAGTCACAAGACAGGTAACAAGGCAGGTCTAAAGTCCGAGAATAGCGAAACTCTCTCCCCATTGATAAAAATGGGACTCGCAGAAACTACAGCCAGCCAGCTGGGTGTGAGTCTGAACACATGTGTCTATTAACCTAAAAATTCAGGAGGCTACTTAAAGGTAAAGCAGGTTTACTTGGGATCAAAGAATTATAATTTGGGGTATACAGCTTTAGAGATAAATCTAAAATATATCCCCAAAAGGAACAAAAATCGGGATGAGGTGGCCAGGTGAACAGGTCACGAGGTAAAAGATGGTAAAATTTACCTTTTCCAGCCCCTTTAAATAGAATATTCTCATTCTTAAAAGCTTCTTGTGGCAGCTCGGTTCAAGAATGTAACCCAGTTTAAAGAGCAAAGTGGTATTTCTACAGTGGCGGCCCAGTTCCGTTTTAAAATGGCTCCACTTATATCAACTTCCAAGAAGTTCACATTTCATAAACTTGACTTGGGAGACACTTTCTTGCTTGGATAATTTTTAGTCATATTTCGTTTTTGCTGAATGAATTTGTGGAGACCATCACAAAGAGAAATCCTCACTGTACATAGAATATACTGTGCTTTGCCAAATACAGGTGAACTTGACCTGAAAAACAAAGGCAGAGTCCTTCCTGGAGCTGGGAGATCAGCAAGCTGCATCTGGGAGCCTTGGGCTCAGCTGTGTTTGAAACCATTTCAGCACAATAAGGAGTTACCCTCCACTCCCTTCTTCCACAGGGTGATCTTAGCTTTCCCTTGCTACTGCCCACTTTTCTAAAGCCATCCTGCCAGGTTTACCATTGGTGAGGCTCTTTTCTAGCTACACAAAGCACATGAGAAAGACACAAGATTCAGGCTAGAAAACAAGCACTAGTGTTGGGCAACGTTATTACCGTGTTCTCTGAGCACACTTCAATCGCTGCCTTGGGCCTCAATCAGACTCCAGGACATCTGTTCTGGCCAGATTGGTCCATTTCCACAGGCTCTGTGCTCAAAATTATTCTCAGTCAGGCCCTGGCTTATTCTCTGCCAGCCCCATTTCCTCTTGGGGGACCCAGAGGAAGAAGGAAGCTGACCGCAGCCAGATCTTCACATTTGTCATGTGTGCAACCCTACTGCCCATCTCCCGCCCCTAACTTCTATCATTTCTGCGTTTGTTCTCCTATAACTGTATACCAAAGGATTATACCTGAATCTAGCTTAACACATCCTGTTGTGCTTTTCCTATTCAAGAATTCACAAAACATATCTGAATAGCCCTTTTACAAGAATCAAATTTATAAATGGACATCTAAAATTTTATACTTAAAGACTCTTCACCACCCCTATTGCCTAAGTTGGCTTTAATATGCCAATTTGATAACCTTATTTGAAGCAATGGCATGTTACCAACTTCTAAAAGCCTGCTTTTGAGATATTCTCTACATCATGTGTTTATTTCTTAATTTAAGTCATGAGCAACAGCTCTTTTCAAGGCACTGAAATGAATGGTAATCTGCTGACAGGAGCATTTACCACACACACAGAAAAGGTGTGACTAGAAAAAGGTGTGACACACCTAGTCTTCACATCATGTTTATAAGTGGGGCTGCTTGCATCTCCCTGCAGGAGTCTGTGCTTGGTAGAGTGGTACTTACATCCATTTCTGCATAGGCTTCCTCTGGAGAACCAACTCCCCTCATCAACACTGTGTCCCCACAGTCCTGCAAACCCTTATCTATATTTCTCTTGATTTGAACAAGTTAAAACTTGTTTTCCTGTTCAGTTCTGTCTAATAGGGGTCTCACTGAGGAGGTGACTGATTGTGTGCAGTGAGAGGAATGTGAGCATAGGTTATTGCGAAGGTTGGGTAAGAATTTCATACAAGTTATATTTGCAGTCAGAATTGAGCCCTTATTTCTCCTTCCTTACACAGAGAAAAAAGACCTCATCTGTAGGAACCTGGGAACAGACACATGTTAGTTGTGCTTGACTGGTCTTTAGAAGCAAATTATAACCTAATTCCTGAAATTAGTCCTATGGTTCATTCCCGTCAGGCAGTCTGCCTCCACCTCTGTCTTCCAGAGCACACGTTACTTTCCGTGCACACGACACGTTTTGTAAGGTAAGCAATGGCTGTTCAAGGTAATTTTAATTATCATTGCTAACAGGCACAGAAGAGGTATTAGTATCCATCCTAGGATTATAAAAATAAACAGAATCCATCCACACCCTTACCTTCAACTTAGAGGTAAAACCACAAAGAATACCATGAAAACCACACACTCAACCTGTAATTCTGCCTCATTCAGTGGTACAAGAACTTCTCTTGTCCTCACCACCCTGATTTGGAGCAACCCACGCTGGTGCCCAGCGCGCTGTGCACTGTCTTCACGGACACTCCCTTAGCAGCAGGAATTCAGTTTGCTGTTCCCTCTCCCTTCTTTCAGTTCTCTACCGTGGTAGTACTTCCTGCCTGGTCACCTCCTCTGAACCATCACCGGTTTTCCTACTACCACTCTCATGCTAGAAGTATGTAAGTTGCAAAGAAAGAAAATAGAAATGGCTTTGTTTACATGGTGCCCACAAATGTGCTGACAAATGACACGTACCCCCAACTTATGGGCTAAACAATCTATACAATGAAGACGAGGGTGCTTGCCAAGCACCACCCACAGCCTCCGCCAGAGAGAGAGCCGTGAGCTGAAAACCGTGCCATTCCTGACCAAGGCATGCATCTATTGCATGGAAGCAGACAGGAAAACTGGTAGAACAGGCGTGGTTAATGCACTGTCTGCTTTACTGTCACAGATTCCCTGGTCCTCCAGGCATAACAAGTCGTCCTGAAAAGACGTCACCCACTAAATGGGAACACACACTTTGTGCTCAGTTAAGACCATTAAACCAGAGTTGGGATGGTAAATCAGAGGTGTGAAGGGCCTCAGAAAGGTGGTGCTTTTCCACAGTTTTTTTACTGTGGTCTAGTTGCTTGACTGGCTGGTAGTAAATTTACAAAGTTCATGCCCATAACAGTCACTCTTCCAGCATCTAGAGTGTTAAGCCCATTGTCAGCTTGTGTTGCTGTGGCAAAAAAAAAAAAAAAAATGGCCCTCAGCCAAAATATCAGTGCTTGAAGCGGAATCTGAATGCCCTCTGAAATACATATATACTTTGAAGATGGTTTGTTTTATTAATGTATTGTTAATGCTCTCCTGTGGGTTTACCATTCATTTACAAAAGTTTCACATCTCAGTATGTGTATCTGCTTCACTCACCCAGGAAGCTCTAGGGACTCCACACTATCCAGCTGACCCTCATTACTGTCCTTTGGAAACTCATATTTTTCACAGAGTTATTTGCCTTGTGTTTTGCCAATATCTTTATATTCTACCTGTGAATGAAACCAGCAGGTGACTTTCACTATTTACTTACTTCCCTGAGCATAATCACATCAAGTTCCATCCATGTTGTCACAAAAGGCAAGCTTTTGTAATAGCTGAGAATCACCATCTGCAATATTTTTGTAGCAGTTTATTTTTTTTTTTAAAGAGAATTTTGGTTTTATTTCTGGCAATAGGGTAAATATGGAGTTCTACCTCTTGGCAACAATATCAATCACCAGTGAGGAAGTACTGTGAATATAAGCCACTGTTTTGAATATATCTAGGGAAAGAATACAAGTAAAAAACACAAGAAACACCAATTTTTTTTTTTTTTTACCAAAGCTTTCTTAGAAATATTTGAAATTATAAATGCAGGCAACATTTAATAGGTTCAGTACTTGCGAGAAACTCAGTACACTTATATTGTCTTCTAGGTCCTAACTTCTCAGGCTACTAAAGCCTGCCTTTGAAGATACTAGCTAAGAAAAGCAGAATTACATTTTCTCCTGCTTACATTCTAACTGCTTGCTAGAACAAGTCTCTCTGCTTATATGATGCCGGTTGAGACTGAAACTTGAGTGTGGCACAGTCCCACAGAAGCCTTGAAACTCCAAGTGGGGCCAGGAAACACAGGCTCTGGTACCTCCTGGGAGCAAGTTAGGAAATCAGTTTCAGGCTTCACTCCAGGCCAACTGAATCCGAATTTGCATTTGAAAGAGATCCCCACCTGATATGCCTGAACACTAAAGTCTGGTTGTAAAAAGAGAGACAGGTAATTCCAGTACAAAACAGCAAGAGAAGTGAGTCTATCTTAGACTTTCCACAACTAACAAGCAGCAGGCGCAGCTCAGTCCCACTACAGAGCAGGCTCACTTACTGAACTGAAAGTTCCTACTTTGGAATTGGCTACCAGAGACAGCTTTTCAAGGTGAGATTCAGTTCAGTAAAAGCAATTGGCCCCTTGGAATTAGAGCCAGTCCTGCTGGAGATTCAGTTCTGTTCCTAAGGCACAGAACTGCCTACCTGTGTTTTTAAACACCACTGTTACAAAAGAAAAGATTTCTAGCCTCTCCTCAGTGGAAACTGGTGCTTCTAGTTTTTTTCAACAATAGATGTTTTGCAGAGAAAACAGCAGGAACCTGAAATCAAGCAATCAGGATTTAAGTGGGGCCTGTTGGCTGCTTTTAGTAAACTTATGCTAACAGGTACAAAGATCCAAGGCTAGATTTCAGAAATAGTGCCCAGGCAGCCAAGAAACTATGATGAACACATCAATTCCCAAAGATCGTACTTGAGACAAATGAAGCTTTTGTAGGTATACTCAAACTCTTTCAAAATTTTAATTATAAATAAGATATTTCTATATGCATGTATGCACACACATGCGCTTTAATAGAATGTGATTAAGAGGTTCCATTTGGGACCAAGTAATAAATCTATATTCTTCTAAGTCTGGGGTGAGGTAGCCAAGGAATAGAACAGTATAGCACTAGTCTCTTTAGTTTCCTGGTTTCTAGAAGAAAAAATCTGGAGTGAATTCAACTTTCACACCAAAAATAAGTGGTGAAAAAGATAAATCCTATCTGCACATGTAAAAATGTAAAAGTGAGTTGGTCAAATTATTTCATTCCATCAAAGTCACTAAAGCTGCTGGTATTTGCATAGTTCAGTGTTTATATTTTAAGAACCTCATTCAAACATAGCCAGAAATATACTGCTCTCCTGAGAATTCACATGAAATTTATACAAGAGAAAAAATATCTAATCATGAATGCCAAGGTTGATTGTATCTCAGAATATTGTCGCTTGGTGGTGTTAAGACCGCTTTTGAGCTTCTATTTGTTGATTTTGACTTTTTGTTGTTATCCATCCTCAATGGACCCAAACACCACTTTCCATATCTCCTTTAGCTAAAATAATGCACCGATCCCCCCATTATTTGAGCCAGGAAACAACTGCATAAAATAAAGGCCAAACCCAGCCTGAACTAGCCGTCCAAGAAGTCTAGCTTGGTCACAGGACAAGAAGCTCTCTCTCAGACAGTTTGCAGGAACATGTCCTGGCTTCTGATGCAGATGCCATGGTGAGCCAGGCATTTCCAGTAGCAGGTAACAGACAAGTTCGGGGTCCAACCCTGGCGGCGTGAGTGTTTCCTTGTCCAGACAGGTCAGACCAGAGCAGGCAGGGGAATGCTGTCTACAGGTCAGAGTCGCAGGGTGGCAAGCTGAGGCAGAGCTGGGTGCTGCGCGACGACATGCCGTGGGAGCTGGCTCCCTTCTCCCCGTCCAGCACGTCCACCGGGTTGGTGTAGGCCTTCGGCGGCGGCCGAGGCATAGGAAAACCGACCTTGGTCTTGCCGGTGGCCCCGTGCTCTGCGGGCCGCGGCCGGTGCAGGCCCCCGCTGTAGTACTTGATGGCCGGCGTGAGCTCGGGCTCCGGCCAGTCCACGTACACGGTGCTGATGCTGTTGCGGCGCACGGTGGACGCGGGCGCCTTCCGGCCGCGGCTGCAGCGCTCCTCGCACCAGGGCGCCAAGCTGAGCGCCAGCGAAAAGCCGCCCACCAGCAGCAGGCAGCTGCCCAGATAGACCAGCACCAGGCTGTAGCCGACCTCCACCGTGACCGGGCTGGGCGCGGCGGGCAGAACGTCGCGGTCCGCCAAGAAGTGGTTGTACCAGGAGACCGGGATGAGGCTTAAGAGGCCGGAGGCGAACAGCACGAAGCCGGAGATGCCGGCCAGCACGAAATGGGGTATGTCCTGCCAGCACCGCACGCCGATCGTCGCCAGCAGCAGCCCCAGGGCCGTGGTGGCCAGGGACGTGACCGTGAGAGCCCGCGCCAAGAGCACTAGGTTGGCTGCGAAGTATTTGTACTCGTCCCACTGGGCGCACTGGCGGTCGCGACTGCTCTGCTCGCGGCACATGTCCCACAGGCCCTGGTACAGCACCACGTCCACTGGCTGGTCGAGGAAGCCCTTCACCATTCGCCAGCCGGGCGTCAGCGTGCCGGTCAGGTTGAGCAGCAGCCCGCAGGGCACCAGCACCATGCCCAGGGTCATCACCACCGGCGTCCGCATCCCGGCGCCGCCCTCCCGCCGCCTCGCGCTCCCGACCCTCCTGCGGGGAAAGCGCCCCGGGCTCCGGGCCCCCGAAGTCAGCACGGTACCGCGGCGGGCCGGGGTCCTGCGCCCTGCTGTCTCGCCAGCTGGGACGGTCGCCAGCTGCCGCGCAGCGCCAGGTCGCTGTCCGCGCGCCGGCCGCTCCGCCTCCCGCCGTCCCTAATCGAAACCAGCTCGCGGGCGGGTCTGACCGAAACCGTGGCCGAGGTGCGGACTTCCAGGGGCGGCCGCGACGGCCCAACCCGTCCAGGGTGGGAGGGGAGGAGGGCACGAGCGGGAGCCGGCCGGGGCCCCTCACGTGCCGGAGCTCCCGCGTGGCAGACACCCCACCCCGCGGGACTGGGCAAAGGTCGCCCCGCCCCTGGTTCCGCCAAGGGCTGGGCCACCTGCGGGCGGGGGATGAAGGGGGCGGCCCTGCGGGACAGCCGCACCCCGCTCTTCGCGGCGCTGCTTCGCGGCTTCTCAGCGGACCTCAGTTGCCAGTTTTTCTCCAGTCGCTGCCGTGGTCCCGCGACGTGGCCTCTGCTTCCGCCCCTAGCGGGATCGGGTGAGCCCTGGGAGGTGTGCAGGGCTGAGCGCAGCCGAGTGGGCGGCGCCCCAGGACCCGAGCTGACTGACAGGCGCTGGGCAGGTGTGAGCACCTGCTTGAGAAATGCGCCCTAGAAAGTTACAGTTGTTTAATAAGCGTTCGTTAATTTGCTTAATACAGACTCCATGCTGCTAATTAGCTTTGACTCAGGCTTCAGAATGAGAATCATGAGAATCGGAGCGAAGGCACTACTGGTTGAGGGGTTACAGAGGATGTTATTTTTTCAGCTTGTTAAAGATTTTGAAATAGACCCAAAAGGATGTCGAGTCTGGCACACTTCTCAGGCTTAATTGATGCTCTAAAGTTCGGTGGCCTTTGATTTTCTCTGAGTTATCCTTTAACAATAGTTTCTAACTATAGTTAAAGAGTAGTTTATAGTAGAAGTTTTTAATTGGTTAAAATTAACGCTATTTCTAAGAAAGTTAATTGTTGGTATGAAATCATTTTGAACGTTCTAGTGGACAAACCAGAGACATGAATCACTGGTGTTTTTCTTTAATTTAAAAAAATTAAATATACATAAAATGTCCACCAATCTTTGGCATTTAGCATATTTCCATTGTTATGAAACATCAATTAGCAGTTAGCACTGTCCATATCCAGAACTCTTCCACATTCCCAGTCTTAAACTATCACTCACTATGCTCCTTCTTTCTCTCAGCCTTGCAACCACCACTCTATTTTCTAGCTAAGAATTTGATACTCTAGGTAGTTCCTAAAAGTTGAATCATTCCTGATTTGTGGCTAGCTTATTTCATTTAGTATGAAGTACTCAAATTTTCTCCATGTTGCAGTCTGTGTCAGTTTTCTTCCTTTCGTAGGCTGAATCATATTCCATTATCTGTAGTATATGCTATGTCTATACCTCATTCTGTGTACCCATTAATCTGTCTGGGACGTCATCCAATTTACAGGACATACTGAATGATTGTTCAGGCCCACTTACTAATAAATGAGTATGTTATGAAATTTGGTAAAAAGCTTTCTCTGAGACTGAGTATTAGAAGTTGCTGATATTTATTTTTAATTTTTAAAGGCAAGGTGTAAGTGACATATAATAAAAAAACTTAAGTGAAGTATAATTGACACACTGTACATTACACACATTAAATTTAATAAATTTTGATGTGTGCACCTGTGAAATTATCACCATAAAGCATAATTGTTACCCACAAAAATTTCCTTCTGCCCTATCAACTCCCCCTGCCACCCCAATGACCAAGCAACCACTTTTGTTAGTCTAATATTTCAGTATAGTCTCTCAGCTTGTATTTCTTAGAATTTCACATAAATGGGGTCATTACAATATAGATTATATGTAAGAGAACATTAGGGTGTTTCCATGGCACAGTAACTCCTTCACTTGTCTTAACCATAAGAATTTTCTGAGGTGATCATTTTGGGAAATACAGCTTCCTATTGAATAGGCCCCCTTGGGAAGTGTGACAAGAACTGGTGTGTTTATAGGGCCCCAGGGGCCTCTTACCTTTGGAAGGAAGGGCATAAAACCAGTGTGACCAAGACTTCTCATCAGCAGCAGAAAGACTTCATTAAAGCATCATGGGATCAAAATGATGTCTTTCTTCTTCCAAAAATTGTTTCCTTCTCACTTAGATTCCTCTGTGAAGTGAATGAAGCCCAAGTATTATTTGTCTGTGAGCAGGAAGGGAATCCTGTATGTTCACCTCAGTCTCCATCCTTCCACTCCTCTTTCTTTACCTCACCTTATGCAAGTCATTCTCTCCTTTTTTTCCTTCATCTAACTCCTAATTGGTTTTCTATTCCCTTTCTCTTAATTCCTTGCCTTTCAAACTGCTATAAATTTAAAATCAAACCTTGTGGCCCTCCCTGGTGGTGCAGCGGGTTAAAGCAGAGCACTAAGAAGCTTAAGCCACTTCTGCATGAGTTCTATTCCCACCTGCTCCGGAAGTGACCACATGGCGAGGCAGACCTCTCCTAACCCGCCCGCTGCTCCCCTCAAGCAGTATACTTCGTCGATCTGTCTGTTCTGCTCCTCACGATGTTCCTGGTGAATCCTCTCACCCTCCGCATCTCTGGCCTGTACCCCAGTTCTGTATGAATAAATAAATAAATCTTAAAGAAAAAAAAATCAAACCCTGTGCCTGCATTAACCCTTCATAAGACCTTCTGTGGTCTAGCCCAGATGTACACTTCCACTCCCCTTCACCAACCTCCTAACACCATACCCAGGAAAACTAGGATTGTTTCTCATATTTCCCCCCAAAGTATTATCTTGCCTTTTGCCCCTAGACCCGTGCACGAACTCTTGACTTTTCCTAGAGTCCTGACTGCCACTTCCCAACCACAACTCATCCTTTAGCTCTCTGCTGATAAGTAATTTCTTCTGGGAAGGTTTCTCAACCCTCCAAATTAAGTTAGCTTTTCCTATTGTGTATGTCCATACTTTCCTCGTCTCTGGTAGCACTTGCCACGATTCCTTTTTACTTGAATCATCTGTTTTTCTAGCTAATGTGTAAGTTCTGAGTGCAGTTACCATGTTTAGCTTTTCTGTTCTGCCCTGAAACCCATCTCGATGCCAGGCGGGCACTGGCTATTCCACACACCCATTTGACCTCTTTCTGCCTCATACTCCTTCACATGCTGTTCACAGAATTCTCTCTGGTGACTGTCTCTCCTCAATAGATCATTTCATCCATTTCAGTAAACAAGACTGAATGCTTGTTTTTCCTCTGTGTGCAAAACAATCAGACATAGGATGGTTCCAGAAACTTATGACAAAAAAGTGTAAGCCTGCGGGGTAACTTTCTTTGGGCATAAGAGGAAGAATGATTGTGCTAAATATAGCTTCTGAGTATAGACCTGGGCTCTTTGTGCCATGGGCTTTAAGTTCATCGTAAGGCTGAGTGCGAAACAAAGCATGAATCACAGTGTGGTAGGTATGAATTACTGCTGAGATTAGTCCCTGTGTGTGTAAGCTGATCCTCTGGCCCAATAATAGCTTTCCTTTCTGAAGAGAGGCTCTGTGGCCAGGCAAGAGTTTCTTTAGACTGCCTGGGTTTCATTTGGTTTTTGAGATAGCTTTCAATGTGAGTATGGCATTTATTTATTTAGAATGTGTGTGTGTGTGTGTGTGTGTGTGTCTAGTGGGGAGGAGATCTGACCACCATTTTTCAATTTTTCTTTTTAAAAACTGGCCATCTCTGGTGGCACAACAGGCTAAAGCACAGGACTGCAAGCTAGCCTAAGCTGCTTCAATGCGAGTTCAAGCCTCAGCCTTGGAGGTAATCCATGTGGCACAGCAGACCTCTCCTGACCCACCTACTGCTCTCCTCAGCAGTATACTTCATCAGTCTCCAGTTCTGCTCCCTACTCTGTATCTGGTGAATTCTCTCACAACCCCTATACCTTTGGCCTGTACCCCATTTCTGTATGCAAAAATAAATAAATCTTAAAAAAAAAAAGACGACATAGCTAACCACATGAAAGACGTAAAAGGAAAACCAAATCCTATATTGATTTAGTGCACCCCAAATTGATGTCAAGATTCAACCCAATTTCAATAAAAATCCATTTCAATAAAAATTGGTGTTGCCTGCCTTCAGTGTGTGCCAGGGGTCCCTGATTAGATGGCGTTACCTGCTCCCTCTGGCCCATTATCACTGAACCTGTGAGCCACACTGGAAACTCAGCCAGCGGAGACAACAGTCTCACCTATAGGAGTCTCCACCGAATGACAAACCACTCTTTCCTCCTCTCAGCACCTCCTGTGGCTTCCAGGATGTTCCCCTAGTTTTTCTCCACCCACCACTGTCCCTGCACAGCCTTTCTTCCTGGCTCATTCTTCAACCTGATTTTTCAATGTTGGCCTGTGCTTAGTCATTGCAAAGCAAAAACAGCAACTTGACAGGGAGAATCGTGGAAAGCACCATCTAGGCCAAGTGAGCTAAGTTCACGTCATTGATGGAAGACAACGGGGCGGGTAGTTACTGACTGTCCCCCCGAGAGCCTGTGTTGAGGGGGACCCAGCATTCCCCCATTGGTCTTCCCACCAAAGATGCATAACCTGAGTCCAATTATGAGGAAACCATAACAACTCAAATCAAAACACATTCTACAAAATAACTGGGGTGTCCTTGTCACAAATGAAAAGAGAAACACAGAAGTGCTTTTTTAGTAACAGAAATTCAAGAGAGGACAACTACAAAGCAAAACCAAGCTCATAGATGTAGAGAATAGAACGGTGCTCACAGAAGGGGAGGGGCCAAGGGTCTGGGTGAAACTGGGAAAGGGTCTATTTTTGTGGTGAGAGATGGAAAGGAGACTTCTGACAATGCTCATGAGGTAATGAGCACAGATGTTCAATCAGGGGGCTTCACCATGGTAGAAACTAATGTTACCTCAATAAAATTTACTTTTAGAAAACAACAACCAGACAACTCTGAATGTCCTAATATGTCTACAAGGTTATGCTATGTGAATTCTGCATACACTGTGACAATTCGCCCCTGAAGCTAGTAACACAG